TGGTTACCATTGAAGTCCATTATATGGAGAAAAATCCTGGAATGTTTTCATCAAAAACCTTAATTTCTTTTTGACTGAAGAAAGAATGACATGGACATCTTGGATGACATGGGGGTGAGTAAATTATCAGCAAAAGTCTTTTTAAAAGTGTACTGCTCCTTTAAATGCTGAAATGGTGCAGAGATGACAATCATATCGAAACTGTAAGGGAGAAATTTAACTCTTGTAGAACCTGTAAAATACACTTTAGGCACAATAAGTATTAGTCATAATTACTAAACAACATGACAAAACATGTCTTCAACATCAGCTATTGAGCTAGAAATACCTTAGTGCTTCGTTCTTAACCAGGTTATCAGATCTCTGGACAACACCAATATTTACAAAAAATCGAAATACATTTCAAACGTGTTAGATCATTTCCTAACCTAACACGCACAAGCATGCTGGCGTCACGTTTAACACAGATTTCGGAATGATTCAACTGTGCAACTTCCAATAATGCTTTTTTTTGCATTATCTTAGCATATTTTATCTTATGCATATTATATGTAACCAGTCAGGTTACTGAGGTACACCACGGTGTAAACTCTTGAACTGGTCTGCAGTTGCCAAAAGCATCGTAAGCCTACAGTAAGTAGATCATAGGGTGTAAAGCAATGGTTTCTGTGATCACCTTTGACTTACCATGCTTTTAAGAAGCGCAGAACGTAAGCAATAATAATTATCAACTAGCTATGGTCCGTCTATGTTTTTGTGTGTGTGATTAAAGGGATTGTTCACCCAGAAATGTACTCACCCTCAAGTTGTCCCAAAATCTGTACAAGTTTCTTTCTTCTTGTTGAACGCAAAAGAAGATATTTTGAAGAATGTTGACAGTTGACGGTAGCCACAGTATGAAAAAAATGACTATTAAGTCAATGGAGTTTATCCACTGTCAACATTCTTTAAAATATCTTCTTTTGCATTCAATAGAAGAAAGAAACTCATAAAGGTTCGGAACAACATGAGGGTGAGTAAATCATTTTTGGGTGAACTATCCTATAAGTTTTGTAAACAAGATACTGAGGTTACTTGAAAATGCCCGTACTGATAATGCCTGTAGTGAAACTTTATTTATTGAGTCTTGTTACATCTGTTTTTGCATGCCAGGGAATACACAACCAGCTCAATTTGAATATTTATTTCTTTTTTTAGAGGTTGCATTGTCTTTTTGTCTTTGCATAAGAGGCACATTTAGATTCAATGCTACTGGATCCCAGTGTCGCTCTGTCTAAAGGAATGGTCAATCTCACATTTGTTCATGAATCCCTACTGAGGAATATTTCTGTAGGGTTTAGGAGGGCTTTTTACCTGAAGATCGAATGTTTTCTTGTAAAGTAGAATAATCTTGAGTGTTGATGAACCTTTCTCAGAGATTGTTGTATGTGTTATTGCTTGTTGCACTATAATCTGTGTGTTCGGATTTGGAGAAAGGGAATCCGCTGCTGCTTTAAAAATGAAAAAAATATTTAATGCTTCAAAATGAGTGAGTTTATTTAAGTGATTTTATTTGTCCTGTTTAATTAGTTGTTCTTTTGCTCATTTTAGTGGAAAATAGCAAAAGGATATTGCTTTTTGAATTTGGGATTTTGACTTTTAATGCTGTTTTTTTTTTTTTTTCTCAAGGCTCATCATTTCATAAAAGTATTGCGTGCTGTTTTGTCTATACATTTTACAAGGTCAAAAAATTATTTTGCATCAGTCTTCAGTTACTGAAAAGGAATGTTATCAGCATCGCTTGTGCTGTATTTGGCTGTCTAATATTTGTGGTCGTATGTTCAGAGCTTTCTAAATCTTTGTGAATCTATGCAAAGCAAGAACTAAATTTTCTCACTCTAAAATGATGACATTTGTCATTAACATCCAATAAAATATCTATTTCAGATATTTAAAGAGTGTTTGTTTTTTTTAGTGTGACTGTTATGGTGATCAGGTATAATCAGGTCTTTGTAGATTTAAAGCAGCCACTAGAGGTCTCACTTCATGTTCATCTATGCTATGGGTTACTGTACTCACTGTATATCATGACACTATTGTGAAAACAATCAAGGTTTTTATATACAGAATTGGCGTTAATTAATCAGCTGATACTTGCCTATTGGTAGATTATTAGCAATAATTATCAGTAATGCACTATCACCCTAAATACTATATAGAAAAACAACCCTTCCATTCACAACTTTGGGGTCTGTTTAAATAAATAAAAATGTTTTTGAAGATTATTTTGAAAATTACTGACCCCAAATTTTGTAATGTGCATACATATATATACTGCCAGCCTAAACAAAAATCTGATTGGATCATTACGTTTCTATCATGTTTATGTTTGGCAGCTGTTCTTCTAACCCTAATTGATGGAGTTTGTAGCTTTTCATTTCTCAAGCAACCATGTTAGGAAGACACACCATGGCCATATTCCAGGATGACAATGTCAAAATTCATCAGACTCAAAACTGAAAGATCGTTTGTGAGGAGCTTGAAGAATCGTTTTCACACATGAATCGGCACCTCTGAGTCCAATCTTAAATTCATTGAAAGTCTTTGGGATGTGCTTTTACAGAGTGCTGGACTCTTGCATTCTCATTACAAGCTACACATTAGGGTTAGAAGAACTGTTCCCAAACATACAACATGATAAAAGCATTTAAAAGACTCTGCTTAAAAGACTCTTAAGCATTTAAATCTAAACAGCAACTTTTTTATTTTTGGCCAGGCAGTAGTGTGTAATAGTGTTGACCGGTATATATAGATCGGTCTTGTTAGAATTTTATAATCTGCGTAGTCCAATATGACGTACCACAAATACTTATCTGGTTAGTTGGTGTTGAATACAGAGCAACAGTTTAGTGTGTGACTGTTACTGTACAGTCCTGAGGTCAGTAATCATGTGTAAATGAGTGTTCAGGGAGGTTACAGCTCTATATTTAGAGAGAACTTACTGGAATGTTTTACCCATAACCAAGCCACACTGAACACCATCCGTTACGAACCGCCAGTTGATTATGAGCATTACTGTCTGAGAGACAGTGACCGACTGACCCCTTAAAAATTATTAGGATTGTGTATTGAATTTAGCTACTTTGCTGAGGGTTGATTTTTATCTCCACGAGTTAAAGGTTTGACACTGCATAAATGATACCAATGATAAAACTGTGCTAGATGTTAAGTTTTGTTAAAGGGATAGTTCACTTTGAAATTCAATTTTGGTATGTTTTAGCTTACCTCAAGGGCATCCAAGATGTACGTGTCTTTGTTTCCACAGTAGTTTCAATTTTGATATTTTTAGGTCAAACCGTTCTTGTCTGTCATAATGCAGGTCTATGGTCACCACCTCAAAGAGCATGCACAGAGAAGTCCACATTAAACATGATTTAATGACTCGTAAATGTAAGTACACTTTGGTGGCCTAAGACACAAAACGAGCGGTTTGTGTGAGAAAACGAACAGTATTTATATTGTTTTTACCAGCTCTTTGAGGTGGTGACCATAGACCTGCATTATATGACTGATAGACACGAACGGTTTGACCTAAAAATATATAAAATTTTAATTTTATTGCGGAAACAAAGACACCTATACATCTTGGATGCCCTCGAGATAAGCTAAAACATACCAAAAATGAATTTCAAAATGTGAACTATCCCTTAAAGGAGAACTCCGGCGAACAATGAACCTTTGGTCTAATAACACATCGGTACACAGTCAACCGTTCTCTGAGATTTGTTTTCATGATAATCGAATGTAAAGAGTTTTATCTCTAAAAACTGTTAAGCGTATAATGCTAGTAATTAAAGTTTAGTTTTTAAAGGCTAGTTTTGTTACACAGACCTGGCAACCCTAACCAGGCGTCCCAAACCGATCTCACAACCAAGTCGTACGAATTCAACGAATGATTAAAAAGTGGCTAATTCGTAACAATTCATACGACCTCACTCGTACGAATGAATACGATTTTGCTAAATCGTACATATTTTACGAATTGGCCAATTCGTATGAATTCGTACGAATGACCTACCCCTTACCCCGCCCCTAAACCTAACCATCACGTGGGTTTAGACAAATCGTACGAATTAGTACGAGTGAGGTCGTACGAATTAGTACGAATTAGCCACTTCTTAATCATGTGTCAAATTCGTACGAATTGGTCGTGAGATAGTGTTGGGCGTCCCTAATATTAACATTCGAATTGAACATTATTTTCATGGAGCCACATTGAGATCCCCATTTCTCTGGAATTGAACAGGGTCATAAAAATGTAAAAAGGTACTTCTTGAGTTACAGGCATACAAACTGTAGGGGGGAAAGTGCTTTTTCCCATTTTTTAACTGTCTCCATGCATATACAATGCAACAAGGACTGTTAAAGTCAACAGATTTTACCAACAGACCTACCAATCTCTTTGTAAATATAAAGTAGTGATGCTGCCATCTTTCTAAAGTCATTTTCTTCCACCTTTAATTTGGTTCCAAATCACATATGAAAACAGGCCTAATCATTTTGACCCCTCTACACAATAGTTTATTACCAAGTAAATATTCTAATATATTGTCTGTCATCGCTATTTATATTTGTCATTCATCAGAAAAAAACCCACTACAAAATCAAACATTGTTTCAAACATTTCAAAGTTTCTGAAATGTGGTTGATTTGACAGAATGACCCTTGAGTCATTCCTAAGCCGTTTGGATTTTCACACCAGCGCTGCGAGAGGTCAGTATTTCGTGACTCAGGTTTAGAAAGGAAGGTGTGACATATGATTCATCATATTCTATAAAGGACCCGAGCTGCAGAGAGTTGGAGACCAGATGATGGTGTAGGTGACAGTGACACCGAACTCCTCCCTTTTGCCCATTTGCTGCGTGGAGGCTATTTTGGTCCCTCCTGTGACCGTTGGAGCGTCTCTCACTGACAGCTGACCACGGGGCCAAATCAAAACAACGACAGCACAGCCACCAACCTGTTACAGCTCCGAGACCATCACAACACCCTGCTGGACACACACACGACTCGCATCCAAGGAAAAGGAGGTTTCATATTCACAATTCTCTGTCAGCCTCTGAATCTGAGTGAGCTTAAGCGATATGACCTCAAATGAGGAGGACAAAGATCCTGATATTGAGCTTTTTGTGAAGGTAAGCATGAAGGTCACCTTTAAAGAGCTCTTTTACTGTGTTTTGTGCACTTAATCAATAGTCAGATGTCAGGAATCAATGGCGGCATTACCTTTGAAAAGCAATCTGACAAGTTTCTTGGCAACGGTTGAGGTTAAGATGGGCGTTTGGCCCAGGATAGGACTCAAAAGGGGGCAGGTAACATTTCAAAGCAGAAACTCTGGGCTCTTCTTGAATTATTTCTTTCTTGCTATCAACACCTCTGCATGCTCTAATTCCTCTGTAGAGCTGAAGGGAACTTCTGCTGCTTACTGTGGTTTGTTTTGGATGAAATTGCTGAAAGAATACAAAAGACATTATTAAAAGCATTTATTAATCAAAGAACCATCATAATCACATAAGGTCAGATACTGTATTTATTCCATGTGGCGTCTTCTTGCATGAGTCAAAGTTATAAATAGAGCTAAAGGTGACAGAAAAACTTTGACTGGTACAGTATGTGTTTACTGCTTGATTGAGTTGCTGAATATTGTCCTTATTTGTAGTGTTTGCCAAGTTGGTTATTTGCTTAGTGGATTGACTAAACTTACTGTGTTACAGACATTAATGATTCCTTAAATCATGTGTCTTCTTGTAGAGATGTGTCCTGTTACTTTACTATGTGATCTAGACTATAAATCAAGCACAAAACGTTACTGATCACAGAGATTTAGAAGTGCTCTTTTAAACTGAGCCAGACGGTCTAGAACATTCTTTTTACCACATATAGCAACATGCAAAAAAGCACTCTAAACACCATAGCAACAGCATAGACATGCCCTGGTAACCAGCTTTAACTACTGACACTTTGAAACACAAAGCCGTTTTGGGTCATTCAAAGAACTTTTAGTGAAAAGTTCTTAAAAGAACCCCTTTTTAAGTGTAGAGAACATTTTAATAGAACCTGTAGGCTATTTCACTATAAATAACCTGGAAATGTTCAATGGATGTCACTAAAATGCCAATACAGAATCTTAATTTTTAAGACAAGGGCCACTTAGAAATCCATATAAAAAATAGCTTTTTTAATATTAATATTATATTTAGTCCTTGCTCTGAAGATCTTTTATCCCATGAAGGTAAAAAGTTGGGTGGATTGAGTAATGTCAGATTAAAAAAAAACTTTGCAGTCACATAAAAAATGCTGGGTTGTTTCAACCCAATTTTGGGTAAAATATGGACATACCCAGTCTTTGGGTTAATTTTTTTAATTACATTTTTAACCCAACGTTTGGGTTTGTCCATATTTTACCCAAAATTGGGTTGAAACAACCCAGCATTTTTTAGAGTGTACAGTAAATGTCTCCATGTGAGCATAAGCAATAAGTTGGACATACGATCTGAGCCAATCGAGCGTTGAGCGTTTAACTCAGACACGTGTTTGAAACCAACCTCTTTGCATTTTATCCTAGCAAGTGATAAACACATTAATTTAGGTGGCTAGGACGCTGGTTCTGTTGACAGGTACAGTATGACCCAAAACCCCTTTGCTGTGGGCTAATGGGGCAGGTAATGGAATTTCCATGTATAATTCAGCTCGAGCACCGATCTGATGTCCGGCTCAAGTTACTGGCCCAGTTTAAGGACGCTATTGGATAGCTTGATCTTCTAATTTCAGATATGGAAAATTGGCACCGAATCCCATTGGTGCTTTGTAGTGTACTATTGTTTTGAAGATTACAAATCATGTTCTGAATGGTGAATGACTTTCAGGGGTTTAATAATCCCACATTTGCCCTGATTATTTAAGGATACATTGAATTTTCCAGTTCAATATATTCTTTCATGTTTTCGTGACTTGGAAATATCCACTATTCGTGTATATCCACTATATATAAAAAAATAATTTCTTCACTTTGATTTCCAAAAAAATGTGCATTTGGAGGGGCATTCAGCACTTTTCTTATTAAAAGATTCAATAATGCTTTAGATTTCAGCCTGGAAAGTACTGCTTAATTAAAGAGGTATCTTTCATTAATTATAGTGTACCTATTAAGTAATTGCATGTAAGTATAAGGGAACAATATGAAATAGTTTGGAGAATAAAGGGGTAACAACCAGGAGAAATAAAAAAAAAATGATTTATAAGTATTATAGAACTAAGGGGTACTTATTCTCTTATTATGATACAACAATCTACATTTGGGAGCAATTTAACAAGAACACACTGCGTAACTTTTTGAAATAATGGTGTACCAATACAAACTGTATAGGCTTTGCAGGGTAAAAATTACAGGGTTCATATCTATGCATTTAATATTTTTAACAAAAGTGCACTGTAAACTAAAATTATTGCACCTTTTGCTTAAAAATTGGGGAAAAATAGCTACTTTTGTGTTTTGTTACCCTCTAGGGTAAGTACAATAAAATACACACAATCGTATATCACTGATTCGAAAACCTTTATTTGAAAAACAACTTAATTCACAACAGATTTACAACACTTATTTTTCATTTAAAACTGCTTTTTTTAATAAAACAATATTTTCAAATGCTTACAGTAGTCTTGACAGAAAGAAGCACGTTTTGTTCCCCTTTTTTTCTCGTGCTTGGCTTCGTCCTTTTGTTCCTCTCCTTTTTATTTCTTTCAACTGATGAATCGTAGGAATAAATCATGTGTCTGTATTATGTATTAAAAGAAAATGCAGTAAAACGTTTTACTGTAGACTATTGCTTCAGACCAACTGTATAAGTTGTTTTTCAAATAAAGGTTTCCGAGTCATTGATATTAGATTATGCTTTTTATTGTACTTACCCTGTAAATACATGGAACACAAGGATAACAAGAACGTCTTAAAGGGTTAGTTCACCCAAAAATGAAAATTAAGTCACATTAATTATACCCCCATGCTGTACCAACCCCGTAAGAGGGTTCATCTTCGTTCATCTTCAGAACACAAATGAAGATATTTTTGATTAAATTTCAGAGCTGGATCACTGCTACATAGGCCGCCTAAGGGATCGAAACTTGACAGCCCAGAAAGTCAATGAAGAAAATGTTGATAAACTTGAGCCACATGGAATATTTAAACATTATTCTTCATTGACTTTCTGGGCCATTAAGTTTCGATCCCAGCAGTGATCCGCCTCTCAAAGTTAATCAAAAATATCTTAAACTTAAAAACTTAAACATCTGCACATTTTCGACAAAAACCGTATAAATGCATAGATATGTGCCCTGTAATTTTCAAAAAGCCTATACAGTATGAATTGGTATGCACCATTATTTCAAAAGATATAAATTGCTCCCAAATGTAAGATTGTATCATACTAAGCACCCCTTAGTTCTAATATATTATTATCCTGGTTGTTATCCCTTTATTCCCAAAACTTTACATATTGTTCCCTTATACTTATGCAAGTACTTATAGTATAAGTACACTATAATTTCTGAAAGTTACGCTGTAAATTCATCTTAATTACGAATTACTTAATTACTTAAGTACTTTCCGGGCTAAAGGCACACTTCCTCTCCTTGTATGTGATTGCTGAAATCTCACTAGGTTATTGGTCCAGACAGCCTTGTTCTTCTGTAAAGTATCACTTATCTTGTGCAACATTATAAATTGCTACTGAAACAAGTATAAAAAAGTATCAAGTTGAGTTGTTTGCTCAAACAGCTTACCCCTCTCCCTGGCCCTCATTTGTATACCAAGATTTAGATTGTTCTAGAAAAACAGTTCCAGAAAGTTCTAGAAAGTTCCAGAAAGTTCTACTTATAAGCAGTAACATTTGTTATTTAGTTGTTCCAATTTTTTATCCATGGAGACCTTTTTTTAACTTAGAGGAATTGGGCCTTTTTCGTTGTTTTTAAAGGGTTAGTTCACCCAAAAATGAAAATTAAGTCATTAATTACTCACCCCCATGCTGTACCAACCCCGTAAGACCTTCGTTCGTCTTCGGAACACAAATGAAGATATTTTTGATTAAATTTGAGAGCTGTATAACTACCACATTGGCTGCCTAAGGGACTGGCTCTTGACGGCCCAGAAAGTCAATGAAGAAAAATATCCCAATGAAGAGTAAATATCCCAAGTGACTACCGTGGCTCAACTATATGTTTATCAAGCGACGCGAATACTTTTTGTGCGAAAAAATAACGAGTTTATTCGACTATTCCTTTTCTTCCTTGTAGGCCAGAAACGAGACTTCCTTAGATTTCCACGACGCATGCGCGCGCCACGGTAGTCACTTGGGATATTTAAACATTTTCTTCATTGACTTTCTGGGCCGTCAAGAGGCAGTCCCTTAGGCAGCCAATGTGGTAGTTATACAGCTCTCAAATTTAATCAAAAATATCTTCATTTGTGTTCCGAAGACGAACGAAGGTCTTACGGGGTTGGAACAGCATGGGGGTGAGTAATTAATGACTTAATTTTCATTTTTGGGTGAACTAACCCTTTAAGCAAAAGTTCATCGATTTATGATACAGGAAATTTTTTTTTTTTTTTGAAATATTAAAAAAAACGTATAACCCTAATATATACATCTAAAAAAATTACACATTTTTAAATACATAAATGATTGCAAGAATTTGTATATTGCTGATTTGCCAAAAAAAACTTTATTAATGTATCCCGCCTGCAAAAATTCTGGTACAGTATTATTTTACTTTGTCATGTGTCATGATTATTATATTCATATCTGTACATGATGTGAATGTATTGAGTCTGGTTTGTGTTCCTCAGGCTGGCAGTGATGGTGAAAGCATCGGAAACTGTCCTTTCTCTCAAAGGCTTTTTATGATCCTGTGGCTAAAGGGAGTCGTGTTTAACGTGACCACTGTCGATCTGAAGAGGTAATGAAATATCAATAGTTTTTTAAAATAGTTTTATTAGTGCTGGGCAAAAAGAAAAAAAGAAAAAAAAGAAAGATTTTTAATTTTCTGTTTTTTTGTTTTTGTTAAATGCAATCGATTCGATATCCTTAAAAGCCTTGAATAATTTTTTTTTTTTGGTATTTATTTGCACTAAACACTGAACAAAATATATCAGATTAATGTGGATTTTATTACTAGTCTTCTGTCATGATACACACACAGGCAATTGTAAAATCCAATTGCAGTGTTTTATTAGGGTAATCCGTACTCACAAAACCAGTCCAGGCAAGGGTCAAACTCCAAATATTCCAAACACAAGAACATAAACCAGCCCTTCAGACGTGACATGTAACTTTGTGACAAACACTAAACAAACAGGGTATATAAACACATAGATACTAACAAGGTGAATGGAAACAGCTGTGTGCAATGATCAATGATGATGATGGGAAATGTAGTATGAGTGAATGACACCGTGGTTAAAGAGGACCTCTGGTGGTTATCCAGGGAAACACAAACCAGACACTGTGACATCTTCTCCACAAGATACCATCCACCTTGTGTGATGTTACAATGGGGGGCATTTCATTCAGTGCTTAGCATGACAGATGCAGGAGCGCCTTTCAGCGTGACAGACGTTCCGGACAGATGGAACGGTCATGAAAGATTATCATTTGCACCATGTTTTAAGCCTCACCGATCTGAACAATGTGCCCAGAAAGCAGCTTCGTTCTCAGATAGCGTGCGAATACCTACTGAGTTATCTTTGTCGTCTTCTTGCACTTGAAAGGACAAATTCAGGCAAAATTATATCAAATTGCTCATCTTGTAAACATAGTCTCTTATGTCTTAAGTAATGTTAACATTTGAGAAAGACATGTGGACAGTATCAGTATACTGGAAACGTGCATTAGTCTTCAAGTGACAATAACCAAATATCCATGCGGCCATCCTACCCTTGACAAAAGACAAAGAGAAAATCACTCACTGCTCTTGACTGAATAACTTTTCTAACTTTAAAAAGGATTCATCTATATTTAATTTATACAGAATATGTAGCATTATCTTCCATTTGATTACTTTATAAAATTTCTGTAGACCTACTTGAAAACTACTGTTAGATCTATAGTAAAACCTGAGAAGCTCTATCTATTTAAAGGGACTCTGTGTAGGAATTACTACATTATCTAGTGGTTAAATAGTATTTTGCATTCAAACGAATTTTGCTCTCCAGCGCCTCGCTTTTTCAAGTGCGTATTGCATCTACGGTTGCCGTTATGTACCAAAAATGCTATGACAGGATGTCTTGTAGTAACACTTCATCGAGTTTTTCTCCGGGTGAACAGGTTTGTAACTTAAAAAAAACAGCAACTTATGTGTACAATTTATGTCTAGCTGTATAAATTAATTTTAATTCTCTGTACAATCTTATCCACATAGCAAAATCACAATTTTAGCTAATTGATCATTTATATAAAAAAAGAAAGCTATAGAAAATCTTACAGAGAGCAATATTTTCTTACAATCATTATCTCTATTCTTACTGAATTTATAGGTTATAAAGAATTAACTTACAAACCTTGTTTTTAGCACCTTACTTCACAATAGCTGCGAGTAAAGTAGTCAAAAGCTGCTATTCATCAAAGACCTTGTTTAACTTTTTTACCTATAAATGTTATACTGTCTAATAAAGTAGCCTACACAACCAAGCAATGACAAAAAAATTAAGTCAGACTAACATTGACTAACCTGTCGAGGAGAAAGCAGGCAACTTCAGCGTCTCTTCTGAAATCTTTCTGTTGCATTAGCTCTTTCCACGGTTGAAAACGCTATCCCGATATTTAAGGCCATTGCACACTGAGTACGAAATTTTAGTAGAGTATTTTCGTGTACGTCAGCCTAAAAATTCGTCACGCATAGAAACCTTGCACACATAGTCCGTTGCGTATTTATTAAACCTTTGCGGGAAAAAACGCAAAAATACCGAATGGATTCGTCAAGCAGTGAGGATGATTTTTGCCCTCTCTCATATTGAAAAGAGAAGAAAGAGAAAATATCCATCCAATCCTGAAATTGCGCCGAGAGGAAGGAGAGTTCCTTATCAAGGAGTTGCGAATTTATCCTGAGCGATTCAAAATTTACCTCAGAATGTCAGTGGGACAGTTTGATGCCTTGCTAGCGATTCTGGAGCCACATATTAAAAACAAGACCACCATTCCGTGAACCAATCGATTCTGAACGGAGACTGGCAGTGTGTCTGGTATGGACCAGGTATGGACACACACACACCCGTGCGCGGCCCGGTGGAAGCGCCGGGCAGACAGAACAGCTAGGCTGTTATTGTGTATTGTGTATATTGTGCCCAAATAATACATTAGTTATCGAATAGGCTGCTCAATCACACTTTATTCGATCCTAAATTTAAATCTGATTGAAAGGGGAGGTTTATTAATTTCATAATACAATATAGAGAAGAGAACAAACACTTGATCGAATTGAAAACCGAAATTGAAAGCACAGCGTATGTGCAATGATTTGAGGACGAGCTCCCCCTGGCCCTGAATTGTCAAAAGACCTCTCAAAATGCTGGCTCTGGATGCGAAAAACGCAGAAAATCGAACCCGATCCGATTAATTTTATGACGGAAAAATTAATGGCCTTGTTTTTTGCAATCTCCGGTCACGTTTCCTTTTTCGTTCAAGTCTGGCCTTTTTTGCGAGGAGGATTCTCCTGTGACTCTGCATATGGTCCGCCATTACAAATAATAGAGCAAGAGCAATCAGCAATCATAGGAGTGCAATGCAGCCGTTTAAACTTGCAGGGAATGCGCCTCTCAATGTGACGTGACGATGGCTCTGAGTCTGAACGAAAACGCGTTGTGGAAACGCGTTTGGCTGGTGGTACTTTTTGACCCTCTCTGCTATTATAGTTTTTCAAGATGGCGGAACGGACATGAAAGCCTCCGTGAACCTACCCGTCCCATGTACATAAAGATAATAAATTCTTCATTTACGAGGATAAGTCAGATAATTTGCAGAGGTATTTGTACACCATTGAGGACATATTTATGAATAAAAATATTGATTTCAGATAATAAAATGCCTAAATCTACACTGAGTCCCTTTAATTTATATCTTTGTTCTATTTTATTTATTTTTTGGTGCTTTTGCTTGCAATTTGATTATTGGTTCTTATTTTACTAATGACGGTTTACTTGTCTTTAATAATATTTCAAAATTATATTAGCCTAGTTAAATACAATGGTGTAACTTTGTTTTAAAAAGTGTGGGGGACAGTGCAATAAATGCACAAATGTAGAAACTATTCTACTTTTTTGTATTAGAAAAAATTATTAATTGAACTGAATTGAGAATAGAATTGAGATCTTGCAAATTGGATTCTACCCAAATCTGGACATCTGTATCAATAGCCTACCCAGCCGTAGAGTTTCTGTTAATATATTACAGAAATAAACTTGGGGCCCTATTTTAACGATCTGAAACGCAAGTATCACAAGCTCGAAGCGCAAGTAACTTTGTGGGCGGGTCTTGGGCGCTGTTGCTATTTTATCGCCGGGATAAATGCCTCTTGCGCCCGACGCAAGTTTAAAGGGGGTTGGTCTGAAATAGCTTCATTATTCATAGGTGTGGTTTGGGCGTAACGTGAAATAAACCAATCTGAGCGTCATCCAACATACCCTTTAAGAGCAGGTGCGCATGTTACATGGTTGTAATAATAACATGATTGTTATTATTATTTTGGCGAATTTACCAGGCGCTCGCCAGGAGCGGTTCACAGCTGAGGAGACCGACGTTCTTGTCAGGGCAGTGAAAGACAGAGAAGTGACATTGAATGGGGATGGGAGTTTTTTTTTTCTGGTTCTTGATGGACAAACTAATTTGTCAGATGTCCTTTTTATACATATGTGTATAAAAGGTCTTGCCACTATTGGGCAAACAGGTCTGATCCATCATTACTACAATTAGCCTGAAAATTTTGGGTAAATGTGTAAAGTTAGATTTAGGCCTACATTTTTTTATTATTATTTTTTAATAAATCCCCATGCTGAATGTGCAGCACGGTCCCACTATATATTAAGTGGCATTAAGTACTATGTACTTACATCGAAAAATAAGTACAATGTACTTATTTTGTTCAGGTTGTATTTGCTTTACATGTTTGTCCCACCAAAATAGGCCTACCCTGTTTTACTGGGAAATGCATTAACATTGTGAAGAAAACTGCTTTTTTTTAATTGATCAGAAATGACATTCTCTTCTACATTGTGTAATGATCAAAATCAGAAAAATCTAAAGTTTTTAAATTATTCTTCAAGGAAACCAGCTGATCTTCATAATCTCGCTCCTGGAACTCCCCCGCCATTCCTTACCTTCAATGGAGAGGTGCGAACAGACGTCAACAAAATCGAGGAATACTTGGAAGAGATGCTAGCACCTCCCAAGTAGGTTGACAGGATGCTGATAGATGGATTGATTGTTTATGTAATGTGAACAGCGTTGCTATTTTTTTCTTTCTCTTCCAAAGGTATCCAAAACTGGTTGCAAAGAACAAAGAGTCAAATACAGCGGGAAATGACATCTTTGCAAAGTTCTCAGCCTACATCAAGAACACAAAGCCAGAAGCTAATGCAAGTGAGTTTAACGTCTGCTTCTGTAACTTATTAGACAGGTGGAAGGAATATCCACAGCTCTTTATGCAAGCTCTGCTGTCAACGGAAAAAAATATGGAGCCACATGTTATCCAAAGCTCATTCACATTCCGCTAGGCCTTTACAGGGATTGTCTTGACTTAAAGTCACTATATTTCTTCAGATAAAAACATTCAGCTCAATCACATATCAAACTTTTGGCTGTGTAGGTCTGGAGAAGGTGCTACTGAAAGCTCTGAAGAAACTGGACAACTTCCTTAACTCCCCTCTCCCGGATGAGATTGATGCCGATGGTACGGGGGAGAAGTTCTCCAACCGAAAGTACTTGGACGGCAATGAATTAACGCTCTCAGACTGCAACCTCCTCCCTAAACTGCACGTAGTGAAGGTGACGTACCTCTGGGACATCTGGTGTAATTGATCACTTAGTGCACGATAAAATACTGGTGATTCCTGAAACGTTCTAGGAGTTACTTTTTATTGAACTGAATCTTTTTGAAAGTCTTTTGAACATTCCCAGCATTATGGCCAGGAATATAAGATACAGTGGGGCAAGTTGTCACACTTCGTATACTGTGTGGGGTAAGTTGTCACAATGGGATCCTATTAATTTATTAACAGTGATTTGAGAAGAATACCTTTTCTGAAATATGAAATGCTGTCTCGATTAAAAGCAGTAATCTTCCACACTGTATTTTTGACTTGTTTTTCAATAAAATATCTAAAGATTCTTAAATCAATTTAGAAGCAAAATAAAGTTGTGTTTTCTATCTGCCAATGAAGTAAGAAAAATGAACTTAAAGGTGGAATACCTAAGATTTTTGCATTCAAATAGCCCAAAATCACAAGGCTAGTGTTATATATGAAGAGTTCAGATGCAAAAGCCTCTAAATGCCATTTGAAATTTTCTTCTTTAATGATGATTTTTATCAAACTTGTATATTTAAGTTCAGTAATTTCACTTAAATGGCAATGATAATTACCTATTAATTGTTATTTAAGTGAAATTACTGAACTTAAATATACAAGTTTGATAAAAATCATCATTAAAGAAGAAAATTTCAAATGGCATTTAGAGGCTTTTGCATCTGAACTCTTCATATTTAGTTATGATGATAACTCACAATATTCCAAATGTTTCAAACAATGTTTAAATCGCGAGAAAATTGAGATTTTAACCAAGGAAACGGGACGTATGAGCAGGGGTGAGCTGGGAGTCGCCAGTCAATCGCGTCATATCCGCTTACCTCGGTTTCCGCTCGTACTACGTGTAGTCCTGAACAAATGCGGTAGTTGTAGTTGTGCGTTTGCGTCTATCAAGCAACAAACGTCAGCTTGTTTCGCGCATTTGTTATGGAATGGAGCACAATTATTCTTTTCATTTATTCTGGGAATGTGAACTGTTGGCTGTAAAGGGGGTCGCAACCCGGATGAGAAGCGCCGCGCCACGTTTAGGACAACTCCACAGTAACGTTATCGAACACCGGACGCGCACTTTCTCATCAGTGTATGGCCAGCAATATTGTTATGTTTAATGACATGAAATGAAGATAATGTCTGTTCTATGTTATGATTGTACTGTACAATTAAATACAATTGTTGCTGAGTTTGCATTCTGAAAACTTTACCTCAGATCATCCGTTCACTGAATGAATTGAGAATCTCACCTGAAAAATCTAATAATAACATCAGCAATTGTCATTCAAGCAGCTGATTTCTGTAAATCACTGCAAAACTAAATGCATATTGCAGCATAGCGCGAAGTCAGGAACCATTAGCAACGATTTGAGACAAAAATATTTAAAATTTTATATAAAACTATGTAAATGGCGCTCTGTGGCGCAGCAGGATTTTGAACACGGTCCTGAGGCGTTGTTGCTGGGCGCCGCGGACAGACGCCGAATGGCGCTGCCGGTATGTGTAACGTTACACTTATAGATAATAATGTTTTCGAATTTTAAAGATGTGGCGCGACGCGGCGCTGCAGCTTCTAGTCCGGTGTGCGACCCCCTTAACGTTAATTTTGTGAAACTGTAGCTGTGGTTGAATACTTACACGACATAAAAAGATGTGTCAAATGTACATTAAATTGATTTTTTATTTTTATAAAGTTACCAAGGAGGACCAGCCACGTCAACTCCTTGCAAGAGACCTGCCCCTTCAAACCCTCTCCACCATAGCTTCGTCCAGTGACTCGTACAGTAACTAATTTACTTTTAAACCTGACTTTTCTTGCGGTTATTTCAGTTTAATGAAAAACAAGCATGTCGTTAAACGCAACGTTTATAGAAATCGAACTTTACCTCATCCATGACAACTAATTTTCGATTCCCGTCTGACTGATTTATCCACGGTGGAGTTGAAAACAACAGTTCCCATCATTCGGCGTTCCTCCACGTCGTCATCAAGCAAAGCCGTTGTTGTTGTTTTGAATGTAGCGCCCTCTAGCGGCATCTAAATCTTAGGTATTGCAGCTTTAATTTAACCCTTGTGCTGCATTAGATTTTTAACACCGTTGAGTGCATTAAGGACCAAAAATGGCCACATATTAAACATTGCCTAAAATATTATATATTATTATTATTTTCCACTTTTACCAAGTTAAATCTTTTAACCAGCATCAGTCCTCATCATAACTACCAAAAATGTATTCAATTTCAGGATTTTAACCCTTTAATTACCAGTTTTGTTTGCGAAACCATCGATTTGTATAAGAGGAAAAAACACAAAAATTCAATTATTTGCAGTCCCTCCAGAAAAACGCGATTATGCGATCGCTGAATTCAATGCAAAATCAGCCAAAGTCCGCATATTTATGCGGGGGCCGCATTTTTTCAAATACGCCGCACTTTCGCCGCATAAATTGCCGATTTCCTTGCAAAATATGCGGGGTTTGCATAATTTCATAATCCTCGCATTTTCGTTGCAAAAAAAAGTCACATGCATTTTAGCAGAAAGTTAAAAAATGTTCCGTTTGCTTCACACAAGAGCAGCCATTTCCCCCTGTTTCCATGGGAACGTTATGAAGTGACGCAATTACGCGACGCCGGACAGACTCACGGAGGCGATTGACATCTCACAAATCGAACTCGTATAACTGTCTGTCACACGTTCTACCGTCACATCGTTACTTAATAAACAACATAAGATAAAAGAAGTAGCATCAAACAGAAATTACCCGCACACATGGGGTGTTCGAGGCGCACATATAACACTGCAGAGAGTTCAACAGGGAGCGCGCAACTCTTAAAGGGGCCACACCTTATTTACACTCGTTACAGTCTGGAATAAAACAAGATGAGAAATTAAATATTCCCAGCACTTTCTATGATGTAGTATGCTTGCTTATCAAAGGAAGTAATAAGAAATGACTCTTACATTAGCCTAGTGAGAACAGGATGTTGGGGGAATCACTGAAAAGAGAAATCTTTTTCATCAAACCGCAATTTTTGCAAGTTCTCTCAATTTTTGCAAATTCCTGCAATTTCATCGCATAAAACTGCATAAATATCCCGCATATTCCATCGCATTTTTAAAGAAAACGGGCCGAGTAGGCTAATCAATCAATTTTTGCCCGCAACAATCACAAAAAAACTCAGCGTTTTTCTGGAAGGACTGAATACTATTATGGTAAATGTTATATATAAATCGCAAATTTTTTCACAAATTTTTGGAAATTACCACCACAAAATCAGTCATTTTGATCGCAAAAATCACACAAAAAAATCGTATTTTCAATAAACTAAATGCAAAGAGAAAATTTTAGATTTGGATTATCACAGTCCCACTTTGCAAAAAATCCCACTTAGCGCGTTAGAGACCAAAAATGGCCACCTATTAAACATTGCCTATTGCCTAAAATAAGGTGCATTTCCACCCATAGGGAATAAATATGTAGTGACGTCATCTGGTGGAATACACTATATAATGCAAATATAATGCTTTTGCTTCAAAATGAAAGGATGTTTGTGCAAAAATCATGTTTCATGCATTACTGACAGCCTCAGATTTAAACAACGATTTAATGGGTTTCAATGGGCCATTTTTGGTCTTTATGGTGGTGAGTGTTACTATTTGATCTACACAGTGTGTGTTATACATATTTTGCAAAATGGGATCACATTTTTTACATGTATCCAAAAAGTCACAATTTTGCCAAATTTCATACCATTTGCATTCAAACAGCCAAAATGGTCAAAGAAATTAAACTGCAAAAGACCAAAAATGTCCCTAATGCAGCATAAGGGTTAAAGGGAAAACTATTTTATTTTTCTGAACCCATTGGCAGACATTGTTTTCTTATTTAAAGCATGAACTCACTTAATTTTCATACTTTCTCAGAAAACAAGACCACAAGTAAATGTATCTTGATTTAAGAATGTTTAGATGTTTGTATTGGAAAACAACACAAAAGTACTGAGTAGAAAATTATTTTTAATATATATTTTTGCAGTGCACATCATATCTATACATAAAATTCTATTTAATGGATAAATTAAAACAATTCATGAAGCAAATCATGCTAAGATATACAGCAATTGATGATTTCCATAAAATTACAACATATAACTTAAACACATGTGACAACTTGCCCAAACCTGACATTGATTAAAATACTTCGACCCGATGATTTGTTTGGAATGTAAACTAGTAGTGTCAGTTGTTTGGTTTCTTCATTATTTTTCTTCCCACATTCATGCAGGTGGTTTCTAAGAAATTCCGTAACTTTGAGATTCCATCAGAGTTGACTGGAGTTTGGAGGTACCTGCAGAATGCCTACGCACGTGATGAATTCACCAACACCTGTGCGGCAGACAGAGAGATTGAACTGGCCTATGAGGACGTGGCCAAGCGGCCGGGCAAATGAACACGCACCAAGCAGTGACTCGTATAATCATATGCAAAACTGGTGAAAGAGAAAAGGATTTTCCTTCAGCAGTTCTTGAGCAGAATTTGCCATATTGGCTCAGTCCTGTGATATTCTAAACTGTTACTTGCCCTCGTCATGCTTGTGAGTACTTCCAATGCTATCTCACGGCCAATTCGTACAAGTGAGGTCGTATGCATTCGCACGAATTAGCCACCTCGTAATAATATGTACAAATTGCTGTGAGATCGGGTTGGTACTTCCATTACTATTGCCATTATGTTTACTGACTGTAAGTGACATAAACTGCTCTATTAGTGTCGCTATCTCTGACGGTCTAGAAAAAAAAAACACTGTGCCACTGTTTCTTCAACTTTTCAGGGTTGGATGGAGATTCTTTTCAGTTAAAGGCAAATTCTTGCTGTAAAGCCCTTTGCGTTTTTGTGTTGCATAAATTATTTTTGCTAGCTTTTAAAACAGTAGCCTGACATAAATGTGTGCTTTATCTCAGAGAACTATATGTAACCTTAGTATTTATTATCAAGTCAAGTCACCTTTATTTATATAGTGCTTTCAAAGCTGCATATTATGGCTAATGTTTGTACATTTCTGAAGGAGAAAAAACGTGATCATGAAATAATTACATTTCTTTAAAATTGGCTTGAAAACAATTCTATTTAAGCACAAAGCCCCACCTAGTGAGGAAATTAATAAAACTATTTAAATGGGCTTTATGCACAGCTTCACTACTTCCTGAACTTAAGCCAGCTCCTTGTTTCCTGTCTGCCATTATTGGCCAAATTGATTATTCAGGTGTGTCTGATTATTGTTTGCCGTGACTACTGAGGTCAAGCACACCTGAATTAATCAATTTGGCCAATAATGACAGACAGGAAACAAAGGAGCTGGCTGCTTAAGTTCAGGAAGTAGTGCAGCTGTGCATAAAGCCCATAATTCTGCAGATGTTATACACTGCACGGCCAAAGAAAAGTTGCTGTTTGGTTTTAAATTGGCAAATAAAGGATAATTCCGGTATTTAACACCTTGAGTCCATTTTGTAGTTAGTTTTGAATGTAATTGAGTGGTGGACTTAGAAATTTTGACAATGGGTCCTGTCTCGACTTTTTGATTATTTTAGAAACGCCTATGACAGCGTTAGACTGGCTGTCTATGGGCATGCACAAACATGTCCTTAAAACAACCCTTAACGTTCATTTTCAAAACTGTGCAACTCACCGAGTGGTTGGTGGTGTTCGTTGATGATTAAAAACAAATATATCGGCGCAGTGTATGCTTTCAATCCATGTTTTTTGCTATAGTGGAACTATTTTTTCAGATACCTCACAACCGCGTATAAACTTCTGCTCGATATTTGAGTCTGAAGCGTTAGCACACTCCCGACCACTTGATGGTGACAACCAGGACGCTGTACAGAACACAAGACACAGTCGAATATGGCAAGACCTATGGGCAAGACGGAGAACCGAGCGAAAAGACTTACAACCAAATGTAAACAGACTACTTTCCTTTTCCGGTAGCTAGCGCAGAAATATCAACGAGCACTGCGTCCTCCAGCAGACATCAATGCGATTTTAAAAAATGACAAATAAAACACGACAGAAACGGTATTTCGCTACGCTACTTGTTTCGGAACATCAAGGAACACCACCAACCACTCGGTGAGTTGCACAGTTTTGAAAATGAATGTTAAGGATTTCATTGTCAGATTTCCCATTGTCAAAATTTCTAAGTCCACCACTCTATTTCATTCAAAACAAACTACAAAATTGACTCAAGGTGTTAAATAGCGGAATTATCCTTTAATTATTGTAGTTTCTAGCATGTTTATGTTTGGCAGCAGTTCTTCTAACCCTAATTGATGGAGTTTGTAGCTTTTCATTTCTCATGGTTTTCAACCATGTAGGAAGACACACCATGACCATTTCCTGGATGACAATGTCAAGATTCATCAGACTCAACTGTGAAAGAATGGTTGGGAGGAGCTTGAAGAATCATTTTCACACATGAATCGGCACCTCTGAGTCCAGACCTTTAAATCATTGAAAGTCTTTGGGATGTGCT